AGGGGCCGCGCGTCGCCGCCCACGAGTTCCCCGAGCTCCCGCCCTCGACGGCTGCCATAGCAACGGCGCCGGGCTCCGCCTCCGGAGGGGTTTGTTTGCACAATCTGCAGCTGTTGCTCCTGCCTGGCTGGTGGCGCCGGCCGGCTCCCCCGGCCTCGCTCCAGCATCTCCCGCGCTGCACGGCGGACCTGCGGGCCTGAGTTGGGCGCCATCCCCACTGAAGCTACTTTTAAGAGAGACGGAGTGGATACGTCTTGGAAACGTGGTGTCACTTTCTGTTAAGTTCTCGATGACTGAGATTTACGTCCGAGGTTACAAATTTCGGTTTTTTATCCTTTTGTAGGCTGAAGGGGATACTAAAGGAGATAAAGCCAAGGTGAAGGACGAGGTGAGTCTTACGCACAAAGCCTTGGGTGGTAAACACCACGGGGCTCCCTTGGTAGGATTTGGTATTTGATCACAGCCTCTGGTCTGGAAGTTGCCCTAGAGTTGTTTTGTGTGTTCACTTGAATTCGTAGAAAACCCGGCGTGAAACTCGTGCTTATTTTTCTGACTTTGTTTTTATTTTAATAGCCACAGAGAAGATCTGCAAGGTTGTCTGCTGTAAGTGTGAATACTCTGAATTCTTCCTACTTACCCTGCGGTTGGGAAACATTTTGGGGGTCCCTTTGGTTTCATTGAATTATAGTTTGTGGCTGGTTTTGAGTAAATTGTGGTGTTGCACATCTGGAGTTTACCGTTGTCTTGAGTTCTGATGGTTATGACCAAAGCAGCAGCTCACTTTTAGATTGTAAAAGAAAGGCAATCCCAATGAAGAGGGGCTTGCCTAGCTGTGGTTTGGGGGTTGTTTCTTTTGGTCCATCGTACTAATAGTTTCCTCTTCCCCTCTGCCTACCAAAATAAGAAACCTGCTCCTCCAAAGCCAGAGCCCAAGCCTAAAAAGGCCCCTGCAAAGGTAAGCGGCACTCAGAGACTGTAGTGCTAATACTAGATTGGTAATTTTTGCAGAAAGAGAACCGTCCTTCACCACCTTAACCTAATTCAATATAATGGTGACTCCATCAGTGGATGTTGTAAGTTCTTTTGGTAGCCTTATTCCTGATATTTGTCGTGTTGGTATCCTTGGCACGAGTTCCAGAAGACTACACTTGACTGTTAAAGAGTATTTTTAGCTGTCGTGTTCTGTAACTTGTATTTAAAGGACGTTGTACGCTGAGCAGCATAAGTTGTGATTTAGCCAGTGGAGGGGGTGTCTTCGTAGGCAAGCCTGCTTTGCAGAACGTGGTAGGTTATGTCCTGGTGTACAAAATGAAGAACTGTTCCATCCGCCCTTCCTTGGTTTTAGAAGGGAGAGAAGGTCCCCAAAGGGAAGAAGGGGAAAGCCGATGCCGGGAAGGATGCGAATAATCCTGCAGAGAACGGAGACGCCAAAACAGACCAGGTACAGTGGCAGCCCTGCTCTCCACTGGGTATGCGTCAGATGAGGCATTGATTACAAAATTGTCTATGACCCCTTATATCTGGATCACTCCAGTAGGGTGTGACTTTCCTCCTGTCTGAATCCTCAGTTCCAAAACTGTATTACAGTCTGAAAGGCACTGCTGTGTTTTCCGGTCCCAAAGTGTCCCCCATGCTGCAGTATGAAATTTTAAAACTGGAAGTGACCTTGGGGCTTCTGATCTTCCCTAGTTCATCAGTGGAGGGGGTGATTGAGTAAAGTTGATGAGTGCCGTTCTTGAAGTGCAGTCTTGGTGTTTTAAGTACCCAAAAACCTGGATTTTATCATGGAAACAGTGATACCATGTATAGACTATAAGCAAAGATAAATTTTAATTGATGTGTTGGTTTTATCTCTTTTTCTTTTAGGCACAAAAAGCTGAAGGTGCTGGAGATGCCAAGTGAAATGTGTGCATTTTTGATAACTGTGTACTTCTGGTGACTGTACAGTTTGAAATACTA